TCGTTCAGTTTAAAGCCATTCCTCTTGTAACTTTGGAGCTAACAAACACTTTTACAACTTCCATGGGATGACTGGCTTGAATTGTTGCCTGACAGCCTCCAAGTCACCAACATGAGATGCTTTTGAGCAGCTACACTGAGAACAGCTTTTCCCACATGAGACGTTTTGGAATGGGCGTCCCAGGGAGATGGTGTAGTCCCCATCCCTGGAGGTGTTTAAGGAATGACTGAAAGTGGCACTCAGTGCTCTGGGCTGGGTGACAAGGTGGGGATCAGTCACAGGTTGGACTTGATGGGCTTGGAGGTCTTCTCCAACCTAAATGACTGTGATTCTGTGATCTCCATCTGAGCAATTTATTTAATGCACTCAGCAGGGAGAAATGTTCCTGCTGATGGTGTAGTTCCTCTCCTCCTAACATAGCTGCCTGTAGCAGATGAATCCCATTCTTTGTCCCTCTCTCTCCACCAGGAATGTTTAAAGTTAAGTCAATGTGTAGCACTTCCAATGAGTGTCTCATGCCAAGATCAGAACTATGGCTACCAGGAGCTGTTCTTGTCTGAATCCTGCAAGAACTGATGTGTCAGGAAGCAGATATTTCACTTTGCTCCTTAGGAAACCAAAATGGTTCTACACATGATGTAGAATTCAGGGACATGGTTTACTGGGGGGCTTGGCAGTGCTGGGGTAACAACTGGACTTGATGGTCTTTATGGGTACAAAAGGAAATGGGAGATTTAGGCTGGATATTGGGGAGAAATTCTTCCCCGTGAGGGAGGTGAGGCCCTGGCACAGGTTGCCCAGAGAAGCTGTGGCTGCCCCTTCCTGGAAGTATTCAAGGCCAGATTGGATGGGGCTTGGATCAACCTGGGATAGTGGAAGGTGTCCCTGCCCATGGCAGGCAGTCGGGACTAAGTGATCTTTGAGGTTCCTTCCAACCCAAACCATTCTATGATTCTATGACCTTAGAGGTCTTTTCTTACCCATATAGTTCCATGATTCTATGACTGACAAGCACCGAATAACAGGCTTCTTCCAGCAGCAAACACCTTTTCCCTGGCATCAGGAATGCCACAACCTTCACCCAGTGTCCCCAGGCCAGGTTTTTAACTAGGTCACCCAGTGGTACCTGCCCACTTTACAAGCTCCAGGGGTAGTCTCAGCTTGAATTCAAACATTTGGTCCAAGTACCTAGGTTACAGCCCATGGGCTTCACCCCTCCACATGATAGTCCTGTATCACACTCTGACTAACTGCTGGGAGATCCTGTCTTTCCCCATTGCCTGGAGAACCCAGAACACACCACCTGACACACAAGCCTCGACTCAGGGGTATGAATCCAGTCCAGCATAACTTTCTCCTTGGTGCCTTAATGATAGATCCATGGATGTAACCGTATTTTTGACATTTCTCATGCTGGACACCTTAAAAAGTATTTTAGAACTGGTGTGTGGAACCCTTGGAAAGGTTTGGTATAGACTGTGAATACTGATATCATAGAGTATCACTGCAGAAGGGGAAAATTGCCCTTCAGCAGTGCTGTTTCTTCCTGACCTGGACAGTAAATCCCAGAGGGATCACTGATACTCTGCTGTCTTTAACCACCAGCATGAATCTGGGAAAGGAGGATTCAGGAGGATATCAAGCCTTCTGTAAACAGTGGGTACTTGAAATCATTTGCAATCAAATTTGGCTCATACAAGAGATATTAATTTATGTGCAAAGCCCAGCACTGAGCTCATGCACAACAATTCCTGCTTTAACCTTCAAATAGCACTTCAAGGTGACATTTGATGACACAGAAGGGATAGGACTGGCTTGTGGGGAAGGTGTCAGGTTCATCAGATACTCCAGATGTGGGAATTTACCTGTTAGTGCAGTGCTGAGATACCAGAAAAGCTTTAAGTATTTCTGTGAGGGGAGCAAGTTTTCATTTTCTTTTTGTGCTGGTTTTGGCTGGGGGAGAGTGAATTTTCTTCACAGTGACTGGAATGGGGCTGTGTCTTGGATTTGTGCTGGAAGCACTGTCGATAACACAGGGATGTTTTTGTTATTGCTGAGCAGGGCTTGCACAGATCCAAGGCCTTTTCTGGAGGCTGGGGGTGCACAAGGAGTTGGGATGTCACACAGCCAGGACAGCTGATCCCAACTGACCACAAGGACTTTCCAGACCATATAGTGTCATGCTCAGCATACAAAACTGGGGTGAGAAGAGGAAAGGGAGAGACATTTGGAATGCTGACATTTGGAATGAAGACATTTGTCTTCCCAAGTCACCCTTCTGTGTGTTGAGGACCTACTCTCACGGAGCACCTGCCTTTCCATGGGAAGCAGTGAATTAATTCCTTGTTTTTTGTGAATTAATTCCTTGTGGCTTTTGCTTTACCTGTGAAACTCTCCTTATCTCAGCCCAAAAAGTGAGTTCTCTCCCTTTTCCCATTGTCTCCTGTATCCCACCATGGAGGGAGTGGCTGTTTGGGGCTGAGTTGCCAACTGGGGTTAAACCACAACAAATGTACTTCGAAGTCAAAGGAGTTTCAACATTCAGTTTTAAGCTGGTACTTCAGATTCTGAGGTGGGATTCGTTCACACAATTGTAGGGGTGGATTCAGTTTATTTTACATCCATGACTAACCCAGTTGAAGATGCCCTGGAGCATCCCTGACATTTACAAGGAGTTTCTGATGGCTCTGAACCTACAGGAGATCTGCACCCCTTTAGACCAACACTGGGGTATGACACTGGATTCTCTAGGCCATCTCAGCTGGCACTGAACACTGATGTTTAAACTCCACAGCCCCTGAGCTGTCTGAAAGCACATTTTAGATATGGAAATGTCCACAGAAAAAACATGGAACTGAGACTAAGATGAGACAAAGTATCAAACTTGGAGACAGTCATGGTTCCACTGAGTTGCATCTAGAAAGAGGCAGAGGTGCAGTTCTGTCTGAGATGTCCTTGGAAACTCAAGACCTCCCCATGAGAAGGCTCCAGGGAGACCTTAGAGCCCCTTCCAGTGCCTAAAGGGGCTCCAGGAGAGCTGGAGAGGGACTTTGGACAAGAGCTGGGAGGGACAGAACAAGGGGAATGACTTTAAGCTGGAAGAGGGCAGGGTTAGATGGGATCTTGGGAAGGAATTCCTGGCTGTGAAGGTGGTGAGGCCTTGGCACAGGTTGCCCAGAGAAGCTGTGGCTGCCCCTGCATCCCTGAAAGTGTCCAAGGCCAGGTTGGACTGGGCTTGGCTCAACCTGGGCTAGTGGAAGGTGTCCCTGCCCGTGGCAGGAGGTTGGAGCAGGATGAATCCAAAGGTTCCTTCCAACCCAAACAGTTCAAAGATTCCATGAGGCTCACAGATAGGGCTGCCCTTCTTTTAAGGAAGGCCCAGATCCAACCTCTCTGTCTTGTGGATGGTCTTGGACTCCTTCCAGCATCTCAGCCTTCGTGAGAACAGCTCAGCTGAGATCCAGCTCTCCACTGACTACTCCACAAAGAGCCCTGTTTCTCAGACACCTAAAATTAAGTGTGAACCTCTGCAGCTGAACCCAGTTCTTGATGTGAGTGAAATGAAGTCTGATCTGTGGGACTGTCTGGATACGAGTTTAAGAAATTGAGTCTGAAGAATGAAAACAGTACTAATTATTAGATTTTGAACATTGATTATTTCAACACGTCTGCAAACATCTTCACAAACCTGACACGACACTACACACATACTTTTTCACCATACAGTTTAAGGCATTTTGTTTTCACCCTCTCTGTTTTCTTCTCCCTGCAAATTATTGATAAAATGGACTGTTTCCCTAGAGGTTTCCACATGAATGCAGATGAGGTATGGTCAGACTTCTCCTGGCATTAGTTGGGCATTTATTCAGAGATGCATATGTTGTCCCAGGGGAAGGAAAAAAAAAAAAGAAACAATCTGGTAAAAAACCATCTCTAACTGAAGTTTGCAGCTCTATTGTGGTTTGTAAAGTCCAACCTCTGCAATAAATGCTTAAGCCTCTTCCAGCTGTTTGCTGCAGCACAAATGCCCAAACTTTTTTCGTGTTAAAGGGAAAATTGGTTTCAATTTTGCTGGTTGTCTACAAGGGCGAGGCACTGAACAACTGCAAATCCCATCAGCTTCCAAACAGGGCCTCGTGCAAAGTTGTCTGAGGGATCCCAGATGGTTGTAAAGTGCTTAGATGCCATCACTGGCATAGTAAAGGATATCCCAAGGGATTGAATCTATTTCTAAGTTGTTCAATATCACATTCAACCACTTCTCAGACACCCGATGGGTGAATTAATTCAATTTTTTTTATCTACCACTACAGTGAGGAGCACAGTACAAACAGAAGGGGGGCTGGAAGAGGAGATCTACTGGAATGGCCTTTCCCAGTGTTGAGGTTTTCAAATGAAGTGGGGAATGAGCTCAACCTCTGCTGAAAGTAAAATAGGGAAAAGGGGAACATTTTCTTTTAATCTCAGACCCTTCTTCTGGGTACGGAGAAGGCAGGGCAGGCTAAGGTAGGGGAGGGAGGAAAATGAATGTACATCTCTGTGGGCTCTGACCAGACTTTGGCAACGAATCCCAATTTTGTCGTGTTTCCGTGACTTGGCAAATCTTCCCAGGAAAAATGCTGTGCAACGGACAAAAGGCATCCCGAAGTCACTCAGAGATGATGCCCAGCAGAGCCACAGGTCATTCAAGCAGCAAACAGCACGGCTTAAAGAGTGGGAACAAGAAGGTGTCACAAACAAAACCGCCTTCCCTTTCCCCAAACCACTTATCTATTGAAACCACAAAATATTAATGAGTTTACCAGCCCTCCAGAAATGAGGGCAGGCAATTGCAACTTTATAGAATTCAAGATCAAGTTTACCACATTTAACTCAGAAGAAAAGCCAGTTATGATGACTCAACTCACTGGAGATACTGGAATATGTAATGAAAATATACTTTAAAAAAAAAAAAAAAGAAAAGAAGAAAGAAAGAAAAAAACAGTTTTTAATAAACAGTTCTAGAAGTCCAAGTCTTCCTGGTCAATATTATCAGAGTTTTCTTTCTTTTTAGAAGCCTGAACTTCATCAGTATTTTCAGCCTCCTTTGGATCTGTGCCTTCAGCATCTGCTGGGTCCTCATCTCCCGCAGCATCAGTGCCTGAAGAATCTTTGTCCTCATCTTCTTCCTCTTCCTCGCTCTCAGGATACATCTGTGAGGGTTTGGAGCTCTCATCACTTCGAATCTCTCCATTGGGGGGGTCACTCCCAGGGTTGTGGTCATCTTTGCCTTCCTCTTCATCTTCTTCCTCATCTTTATCTTCAGACCCCTTCTGGGATTGCTGTGAGAAGTTTCCTACAGAAGAATAATAGGAAAAGGCAGTGGATGTTTTCAGACTCTCCAGCTTTTTGCTATTTTTCTTGCCTTTGGCCCTTGAGACTTTCTGAGAAACCTTGTTGTTGATTTTGCCTTCGTATTTTTCATGTGCCTTGTCAGGGTCATCATTGGCAGGTTCCTCCTCATTCTCGTCATGTTTCTCACCTCCTTCACCGTTTTCCTCCTCAGCTTCACCTTCTGACTCTGGTTTTGCATCTTCTACTGCCTCAGCTTCATCCTGCTCAGCTTCTTCATTTCCTTCTGCATCATCTTCTCCAGGATTGTTGTCAGTTCCGGAGCCCTTGGCATCTCCTCTGCATTCAGATGTCTCTGCCTCATCATCCTCTGGCTCCTCTGTTTCTTCAGCTTCATTTTCAGCTTCATCTTCACCTTTGGACTTTTCTTCAGCTTCCTGCTCTTCATTTTGAGTTTCTTCTTCCTGTTCTTCCTCTTCCTCATTCGCTTCCTCCTCCTCTTCCTTTGTTTCTTCCTCCTCTTTTTCTCCCTCTTCTTCCTCTTTTGCTTCTTCTTCCTCCTCTTTTGGTTTTTCTTCCTCTTCCACTTCTTGCTCCTCTTGTTTAGCTTCATCCTCATCTTCCTTTGCTTCCTCATCCTCCTTTGTTCCTTCTTCCTCTTCCTCCTTCCCTTCCTCCTCCTCTTCTTCTTTTGTTTCTTCTTCCTCCTCTTTTTCCTCTTCCTCTTCGTTTGCTTCTTTCTCTTCCTCCTTCCCTTCCTCCTCCTCTTTGGCTTCTTCTTCTTCTTCCTCCTTCACTTCTTCTTCCTCCTCTTCCTCTTCCTCTTCCTCTTCCTCTTCCTCTTCCTCTTCCTCTTCCTCTTCCTCTTCCTCTTCCTCTTCCTCTTCCTCT